TGCGGCGCTCCACCCTTCTGACCCGCGACCCTTTACATGCTGTAGCTGTGGGCGCCGTTGAGTCTTCCTTCAAATGCTGCGCCAGCGCCATTATTGTGCTCACCAAGACTGGCAGGTAAGAGGGGAGGGGTCTGAGGCGTGCTACAGGTAAGAAAAAGGGTCATTGAAAAGTTTGGGCTCTGCAGGATTTTGAAGCGTTTTTGTATACACTACAGTACTGTCTCTTCTGCTCACCGAAACGGCATTTATTTGATAAAAAATACAGTAAAAATGTGAAATATTATTACAATTTAAAATAACTTTTTTATGTGGATATCTGTTAAACTGTAATTTATTTCTGTGATCAAAGCTGTATTTTCAGCATCATTACTCCAGTCTTCAGTGTCACATGATCTTCAGAAATCATTCTAATATGCTGATTTGCTGCTCAAGAAACATTTCTGATTATTATCAATGTTGAAAGCAGTTGTGCTGCCCAGTATTTTTGTGGAAACCGTGATACATTTTATTTTTCAGGATTCACAGATTAGTAGAAAGTTCAGAAGAACAGCATTTATTTGAAATAGAAATCTTTTGTAACAATTTAAATGTCTTTACTGGCACTTTTGATCAATTTAATGAGTCCTTGCTAAACAAGTAAATACATTGTCATGTATGTGTATTTTTGGATTTGTTTTTTTTCCCGCTCTTGAGTGGTTATTAACATCGTGCATAGTTGTCCACTTCCAGGGGAAGTTGTGGCCTAATGTTTAGAGAGTCGGACTCATAACCCAAAGGTTGTGGGTTCGAGTCTCGTAACGGCAGGGATTGTAGGTGGGGGGAGTGAATGTACAGCGCTCTCTCCCACCTTCAATACCACGACTGAGGTGCCCTTGAGCAAGGCACCGAACCCCCAACTGCTCCCCGGGTGCTGCAGCATAAATGGCTGCCCACTGCTCCGGGTGTGTGTTCACGGTGTGTGTGTGTTCACTGCTGTGTGTGTGCACTTTGGATGGGTAAATGCAGAGCACTAATTCCGAGTATGGGTCACCATACTTGGCCACATGTCACGTCACTCACTCACTCACTGTTTCAGTGAAAAAGCAATATGGTTAATTTCTGTATGTTGGCTAAGAGCAGCATGATGATGCAGAATAATTTAAATTAATATTCTCAGTTATAATTCAATCATTATTACCTGACCCTTTTTTCCATGAATGGCTATGAGTGTGTGTGTGTGTGTGTGTGTGTGTGTGTGTGTTTGGACAGTGCAGAACAGAATCAAGTAAGGTATTAGCTTTAGGCTTCTGTCAGTAATTTAATTTAGTCACATGATTGTCTCTAGGTCAGCACTTTATGTGTTAGTGTGGGTGGGTTTGCGGTGTAGGTAAATTCTGGTTTCCTTGACCATCTTATCTATGAGTTCTGAGTTTTACAGAATAAAAAATGTCTCCTGGAACTCCTCAGAGGGTGTTAGAACATTCTGCATCACAACTTAGCAGCTTCTAATGCTATTGTCTGATTGTCCAGGTCTGCTCATCTGATCTCCCGGTACCGCCCACGTGCCCCAATCATCGCTGTGACCCGTAACGAGCAGACGGCCCGACAGGCTCATCTGTACCGTGGCATCTTCCCTGTGATCTACAACAATCCTGCCAACGATGTTTGGGCCGAGGATGTGGACCTGAGGGTCAATTTTGCCATGGAAGTCGGTAAGACACAGAGGCGGAAGACTGGAGCACACTCATTTTGAAACATTATTTATCATACATTTGCCAAATTGTTAGAGTGAGAAACTGGACATCGCACAGCCTCACGTTCTAAAATCGGCTCAAAATGTCAAACATGTTTGATATATTCCAAATGAATGGAATCATAGTCTGAAGCTAAAATATCAGAGTCTGTACCCATCATACACAACACAATTTTCTATGAAATCCATCAGCTCCAACTGCCCAAAATCTGCAGAGAGTCTCTTTGACTTTCAGCAACTAAATTAAGGGTAAAGATCTGTGCAAAAGTTGCGTAGTGAATTCCAGCCTTCAAGCTGTCCGCAGTATTGTCAGTATCCAGGATTTCTTGATCACCAAGAGACTTTAGACCAAGAGACCATTTCTTTAATGTCTGAGCAAACTGAAAACTCTGCTCATGTGCATTTTTTTTTTTAAGTCTACAATAAACGGGTATATTTATAAAAGATCTTATAAAAATGTTGGTAACACCTTAAAGTAAGGTTCTATTTGTTGACATTGGTTAACTACATTAACATTAACTCACAATGAAAAATAATTCTAAAGCTTTTATTAATCTTAATGCTCATTTCTACATATCCTAATACATTATTAAAATCATAAGTTAATGTCAGTATTTAATGCACAGAACATGAATAATGAACTGTTGTGGTTTTTATCAACTCAAGTTTTACAAAGATAATAAATACTATAAGAAATGCATTGCTCAATGTTAGTAATTATTAATGCTTTTGTAGTGTTTCCAAAATTTCCAGCTGATTACATGTAAATAAGCAAAGTAAACATTCATCAAGAGGCTTTTTAATACATTAAAAACTATCAAAGTAGCTTTGATGCACAGACTATGAAAAATAGCCTGTTAATATTAAACTATAAAACTTTTATCCTAACACCATTAAACTGAAATTTTTGCATGTTAAAGTCAGCAGGTATTTGACATTTCAGTATAGATTTCCATACTGTTCACACTCAAGTCATAATTTAAGGTTAAATGTTGTGCTTTTTCTTTTCACAAGGACCAGTGAGCGTAGCTACAACCAGTTACATTTTACACTGCAGGCTGTTTTAAGTGCAAATGACACAATAATACCACAACTTAGTACTAATGCACACTAAACTGAAAATAATAATGTAAATGGATAAACATGCATAAACACGGGCTGTCAGTGTGAATGCATGAGCACACCTGTGATCGGGGTTCTTCATATCAAACCCTCTTGTCTCTCAGGTAAGGCTCGTGGGTTCGTCAAGCCCGGTGATGTGGTGATCGTCCTGACCGGCTGGCGTCCAGGATCCGGTTACACCAACACCATGCGTGTCGTCCCAGTGCAGTAAGCTGGACAGGACCGTATCGCATCCCACCCGACTCCAGCAGGCTTTCAGACCATCTTCATCATCACGAGCCTGGCTCCTCCCACAGGCCTGTGGACCATCATCACATAGACGTTTTGTTCTCACTACTTTCATTTCCATTTCAGTCTCGAGCATAATCTCACACTCATGTAAGCAGCAGAGCTGTCTGTGTGCTCGTCTGTCTGCATGCCTGGTGAAGCACAGACGGGTCGTGAGCGCCGAGCGAACACCTTTGCCCTTGAACAAACAGCAGCTTCCTGAAACAAGCATGTGGCAAAGGGCTAAGGCGTACTGTAACTAGTTTTATTTGTATTGCTAGTCTGTCCGTGTGCTTTATTTGCACTGTTTCTTTGTTCACACTCCTAATGATGTTACATTCTGTGTTGCACTTGTCCATGAGACCATTTGATTTGGGGCGAGGCGACCAATGTGCTATATATTTGTTGAAATGTTAACGTTGGGATGTCCACGTCCGGCTCATTTCATTGTGTTTTAGTGGAGTAAGAGAACGGCAGAGTTTCTGAGAGATGAATATCGATTGAGCAGCCTCGGTCACATTCCCAGCATCCACCTCTCCTGTTCATCCCCTCACGACGCACTCGTCTGTCTCTGCTGCTCCTGAATGTGTGTGAGAGTGAGTGTGTGTTCAGATCTACCTGCTTTGTGTCGCTAGGGTGCAAGATGTACTTATAACTGTAAGAGTAAACTATACTATCATTGTTGTATTATTCAAGACTGAATTAATAAAGCAGATGAGCACCTGGACAGACTCCTGTGGTTTTATTGATGTCAGTGCCACTTTTGTTATATATATATATATATATATATATATATATATAACTTTATTTATTTATTTTGATGTTCCAATTTCATTTACTGATTATACGGTTTATATCTTTATTTACAGAGCACATTTAAAAACAATAGTTGAAGCAAAGTGCTTTATAATAAACATTCAGTCTCAACATAATATACCCTTTTATAACTACCAAAAGTGTAAAATATTAAAAATGTATTCAAAAGCTAAAGAACGAAAATGTTTTCAAAGATTTAAAGGCATCAGGTGTGAGTTTTGTGTTTTATGCAAAATATTTAAAACCCTGGTTTTGTATAGTTATTGTAAGTCATGTTGGCCGTGTTTTACATTAATAAAAAATAAATAAAAACAGCACGACATGATCATCTGACATGAAATTGAAGCTTATTACAAAAATTCAGATTTTATTCTCTTTACACAATCAACAGCTGATACAATTATTAAATTACTATTTTTGTATAAAAATTGTTTATTAAAACCCAGTATAAAATTTCAAGTTTTAAATTATTAAAATATATTTTGTGAGCTAATGTTCAGCTATACTATTGTTCAGATATCTCTAAAAATGCTATAGTGCCACTTCCATAACATGATGCATGAAATCAGACTTGACATTATTTGCATTCATGCACTTGTATAGTGTGTTTCAGGCCTAAAGCTGATAGTCTAATCACTTACAATAAAAGTGCAGTTTCTCCTGTTTTTCAGTAAGTGGGTTTATACAGCAGATGAGGTCTGGATAAAGTAGCAGCTCTGCTTTCCCGATGAATGCTTCCTTTGTGTTCCTGCTCAAGGTCACTTACATAAGAGCATCTGTATAACAAATGAGCCTTATCAGATGAGAACTGGAGCCAGAGCTGTTAAGTTCATTAATGCAGGCGTCAGCAAAGCATCAGGTGACAAGTGGACTCGACACAGTTCAAAAATCATTATATAAAATTAACATATTTTTTATGTTGCATTAATGTCACCACAAACTGCAACAATATTATAAAATATATTAAGTTCAACAATATGCAAAATTAATGTCAGGCTGAATTAGAAAATGGAGCACTTATGTGATTTAGTCTTTGTAGTATCTAAAACAGAAGGTGGTTTATTATGGAGAAATCTCACTGAATTTTCTAATACCGTATGCAGATGAGATGAGTGAAAACAGAAAGACACACATGATGTCAACAGACCTGCTCCACATGACACAGCAGAGATGAGCTGAAGGTCAAGCCGGTCATTTCACAAACGTGCCATCTTGTGGTTAATGCTTAAATAACACAGCCCTGAAAAACCTCCAGCAAAATATCTGCTGATTTGCAAAATAAAAAAAAAAGGCTTAGTATTTCTGGAAGCTTGTTTTTGCCATGGGATAAAAAAAATGAAGATAATTAAAAAAAAAAAATTTAGCTCACAATTTGGGCTTTTTTTCAGAATTGCAAGACAAACTCAGAATTACAAGATATAAAGTTAAAATTGCGAGATATAAAAGTCAAAATGGTGAGATATAAATTTGCAACTGAGATAAAAACAAGTAATAATTGTGAGATAAAAAGTAGCAATTATTTTGTTTTGTTTTTTTTTCCATAGTGAAAAAAAACAGAACTGTAAGATGTAAACTCAAAAAAATTGCACAAAGAAATCAGAAGTTATATATACTTATTTATATTTATATATGATTTTATATCTCACAATTCTTGACTATTTTATTTTATTTTTGACTAATTTATACAAATTGCAAGAAAAAAGTCTTAATTGTGAGATAAATAGTAGCAATTATTTCGTTTTTTTAATTTTTATTCTATGGTGAAAAAAAAAAAACAACTGCAAGATGTAAACTCAGAATTCAGAGGGAAAAAAGTCAGAATTGCGAAATATAAACACAAAAAATTGCACAAAAAAATCTGAATTTATATATGAGTTTATATCTCACAATTCTTTACTATTTTTATACAAATTGCAAGAAAAAAGTCTGAATTGTGAGATAAAAAGGTAGCAATTGTTTTATTTTTTATTCCATGGTAAAAAACAAAAAACAAAACAAAAACTGAACTGCGAGATGTAAACTCAAAATTCAGAGGAAAAAAAGTCAGAATTGCAAAATATAAACTCAAAAAAATCTGAATTTATATATATATTTATTTGCATTTATATATGAGTTTATATCTCACAATCCTTGGCTATTTTTTATAAAAATTGCAAGAAAAAAAATCTGAATTGTGAGATAAAAAGCCACAATTCCACAATTTTTTATTTTAATTTTTTTTATCATGTGGCCAAAGCTTCTATAAATATTACTTAATTTGATGATGCTGAATTCAAAAATATCTATAAAAAAAATATTTCAAATGTGCATGTATCAGCTTTAATGCACAAATCAAAATAATAAAAGCAGTCAAGTGTCAAAAGTTTTGGTTTTAATGACAAAAAGAAATATTCAATAAAAAAAATGTAAATCTGCAAAAGACGTAGAAAAAGAGGAAATCAGGCATAAAGGCATAAAATAATGTCATGCATGTGAAACTGGCTGAGAACTGAACAAACAAATGTAATCTGGCTAAAGTCAGGAATCATGTTTGTGGTGTTTTTCTGCTGATTAAAGGAGAATGCAAGACTTCTGCAGCGTGCAAATGGTCGTAAAAGCCAAAATGTATGCAAATGTAATGCATCATATTTTGTGAGAAATTGTTGAGAAATTGTTGATTTTTGGTAATTGGTGAGAAACAAGTGCTGGATTTCACTCAGCAGACATGATGCAGGGTGATGCAATCTGTCCAGTCACGACCTGGCTCTCATTACTCCAGAAAACAGTGTTTTTCAGACTCGAATGCTGAAACGTGTGTGCTGATTCTGTACCGTGGAGTAAGCAGCGGTGGACCTCCTCGGCCTCGTAACACATGCCGGTGCTGTGGATGAAGTTGAGCGGCAGAGACGGTTCTGGCACCGGATACTGAGTCTCCACACCGTTCCCCATCAGAGACGTCGGGCACCACATATGAGCCGGAACCTGATGAGCAAAAACACCCCAAACATCCCCCAGCGGCTTTTTCTGAGAGTGCAACATGTGCCTTTAAAACAGGCTTAAAACTCCCGTAGTTTGACTGATAAAGCACAGCGCTCGCAACACAAAGGTAATGGGTTTGATTCCCAGGGAGCCCTGAATGCTTTATTTGTTTCTGTGCTTATTGCTTTAAATCACACTGATGATGAATAAGACAAGCTCCAAACATTGGGAGATATATATCTTTAAGTTAAAATATTAAAATTAAATAAATCTGCTTATTAAAATTAGCGTTTCTCTTCAGTCATTGCATTCTTTTATTATTTTTTCCCCATCCATTTCCCTGATTTTTGTTTTTACTTTAAATGCTTTAAATGTTATTATTCTGACGTGCGAGCGACACTGAGATGCATTTTATGTGTCTATACAAATAAATATAAAAAAAGCATTATTATTCCATTTTTCTGATGCATCAGAAACAGTCAATCAATCTAAATGGCTAATTTACTAATGCACTTAAAGACATCATTTTTTCAAGTTAGTTTTTAAAATTACATATTATTAAATAAGAAATAGTAACATTACATTTTTTTCATTTTTAGTCACTGCAATAAATTATTAATTTCCTTGTCAAATTCTTTATTTCATTTTTAATAATTTTCAAATGTTGTAAACACTTTAAATGTTAAATTCTAACCTGTGAAGCACACTAAAATGTATTTTATCTATGAAATTTAAAAAAATTATTATATTTTTCTGATGCGGGCCTGCATGAGATACAAAGTCAATCAATCAATATGGCTAATTTACTGATGCATTTAAAGACATCTTTTTTTTTTTAAAGTTAGTTATTAAATTAATATTTTAATTTATATTAAATAAAAAAAAGATATAATTTTTTCACACACACACACACACACACACACACACACACACACACACACACACACACACACACACATATATATATATATAATTAATCACATTTATATATTTATATATAAATATATATTTTTTTATGTTTTAAATGTTGTTATTCTGACCAGTGAAGTACATTAGGGCACATTTTATGCATGAAAGGTGTGATTCAAATTTTTAAAAAAATCCATTATTATTATTATTATTAAAAAGTGTCCTGCAGGCCTGCATCAGATCCAGTCAAAGCCACGTTGAATAAAAGCGTCTGCCAAATGAACGAATGTAAAAGTGAATAATCTGAATGACCATCACGAGTTGTTTGGGTGTATGTGATTTACTTTCAACAGCATGGTAATAATTTCACTTTAATAGCTGTATTAGTCAGCAGTTACAGTAATATATGATTAAATATTTACATTACATGAGAGCTGAGAATTCAAACAGAGCAGAGCAGCTGGAATGGAAGGGTCTTCACTGCAGTTGTTAGTGTTTTAACCCTGTTTAATAAACACAGCAGACGCAGACGCAGACGCAACACACTGACATCAGAGAGATTCATCAGACCCTGATGGTGCCTTTCGTCCCGACGATTACAGCTTCGTTTGGAAGCTCGGCGGTGATTGTGCAGGTACAGACGGAACAGAACTTCAGCGTGACGACCGTCGCTTCATCAACACCTGCGAATAATCCCAAAACTGGGAAATAAAGACGATTTCATTTCTGATTTGAAAAAAATGTGACTGTGATTATATACAGTACATACTAAATTGTCATTTATTCCTGTGATCAAAGCTGTATTTTCAGCATCAGTCTTCAGTGTCACATGATCTTCAGAAATCAGTATAATATGCTGGTTTGCTGCTCAAGAAACATTTCTGATTATTATTAATGTTGAAAACAGCACAATATTTCTGTGGAAACTGTGTTACATTTTATTTTTCAGGATTCTCAGATTAACAGAAAGTTCAAAAGAGCAGCATTTATTTGAAATAGAAATCTTTAGTAACATTATAAATGTCTTTACTGTCACTTTTGATCAATTCAATGCAGCCTTGATGAATAAAAGTCTATTTTAATATGGTAAAAAAATCTATTTTAAAAATCTATTTTAATATTGTTTATTATTTATGTTTATTAAGCATTGGCCGCTCTCCTCTAGATATCAGTATCTCCGTCAGTTATTAAAAATTCATATTGGTTAAACAATAGTTAAACAGTTGTCAATTTCACATGAATGATTGTTTCAACACAATATCCTTTATTTCTGCATTTATGTTGTTTTGTGTCAGTCTAAAAAGCCTTTAAAACAGTAAATATAGTTAGTGATTTAAATTTAGTCTGATCAGATCTGTGTTTGAAATCTTTTGTAACATTATACACTCCCGATTTTTCAAAAGAAATGAATACTTTTATTCAGCAAGGTTAAGTTAAATTGATAAAAAGTGACAGTAAAGACATTTATAATGTTACAAAAGATATCTATTCGGAATAAAGTCATGCACGACCTCCATGAGCAAGACGTGTGGCGATCAGTTCCTGGACCTCCTTCAGGTTCACGGCCAGTGGTTTCTCTTCTTTGGTAGCACGCTCACCCGGGAAAAAGGTCAGTTGCAACTTTTTATCACAAAATGAACTGCAAGAAGAGAACTCCAAGAAAACAAGACAAAGTTCTGAGATACAAAGTTGCAACGACCTTTTTTATTTTTGCATTCCTTGGAGTAAAACAGGCTTCCATCATCTTCTTACAGGAGTCCATAATAAAACAAAAAAGATCAATCTCCAATAGGACTATTATGATTATCAACAGGATAAAATATTTAATTTAAAAGAAAAGAAAATTTAAAGAAAAAAGAAAATAACAACTGATGAAGCTCTGGAAAAAGATATCAAGATATCTAATAGAATCAAATAAAAAATAATAATTACAAAAATTGTTGGAATTAATATGGAAGCTTAAAAAATATTAATTGTGACTTTTTGGACAATTCAAACTTTTATTTGGAATTTGCAAGTTTATATCTCACAATTCTGACTGTTCCTCCCTCAGAATTGCAAGGAAAAAAGTCAGAATTTTGAAATATAAACTCACTTTTTTTCTCGCAATTCCAAGTTTAGCCTACATTTGGCAATTCTTTGTTTATATATCTCACAATTCTATTATTTTTTCTCAGAATTCTCAGTTTGTGTCTCAGATTTAGTTTTTTTCCCCCGCCATGGAATATAAAAAAAAAAAAAAAGTAATTGTGATTTTTTTTTCATTATTTCACAATTCGGACTTTCTCTCACAATTGCAAGAAAAAAGTCAGAATTGTGAGACAAAGAGTCGCAATTACCTTTTTGATTAATTTCAGTTGGCTTCCATCAATTGTAGTTAATCACGCAGGTTCTTAGAGAATTCTTATTTGATCTCATTAGTGATGGAATTATTACGATGGAAACTCCAGCAGG